GGGGGCTCACCCTCCAGCCGTCGAGTGAGGACCCGGGCGCTGGGCGAGGCTCCCACCCCGGGGGCTGGAGTAAGGAAAGGGGCTCCCAGCCAGACCCAGGGACCCTGGGACCCTAAGGCCCGTACGTAGAGCTCAAGTGTGCGCCCGCGGGAAAAGGTTTGGGTCCCCGCGCTGAGCGCCCGGGGCGGGAGCGCGCCCTCCCCGGCCGGGAGCTGGCACGTGTCCGGAAACCGTAGGTGGCGTCCCCGCCTCCGCCGCCACCACCGGCCCAGACCCGGACCCCGGGACCTCTTCGGTCCCGTTTGCCGCCGCGTGCTCCTCAGCGAGACTCTGCGAGGCGGACGAGCTGGCTCCCTGGGCTCCCCGGGGGTATCGGGCGCCATTCGGTAGGCCCCGGGCACTCCCCCGGCAGCGCCGGAGTCTGAACACAGGGGGCGCTCCCTCCCTTCGAAGACCCAGCCCTTGCCCTGGGCGCTCGAGCCGCCCCTTCCCCCGGCGTCCTCCCTGCTGCCCCACGAGGACGGAAAGCGCAGAGAAAGACGCCACGCACCCGTTATAAAGGCCCTGGGTGCCTTTGCCGCCCGCGGCTCCGGAAGCTGAGATCCTGCGGACGGAGGGTGCTGAGCGCCCAGCCCTCGCCTTGGGTCCTGGGGCCGTCCGCCCGGGGCAGAGGTTGGTAACAGAGGCGGCTCCAGAATTTCTTATTTGAGGGACTTAAAGGCCGCAGTCGATTTTTAAAAAATGGGAGACTAGGTTTACACACCATAAAATCAGATTTTACACCTATTGTAGGAGGCTTGATGGGGGGCGGGGAGCTCCAGCCACCCATGGCTCCGGCGCTGGTTAGGGGCCCTCTGCTTGGCGGGAACAGGCTCCTGGGTCTGGGCTGACTCGGTGGCGACTGCTGCCACCCTTCCCCTGAGTTCCACTGAAAGACGGGACAGTCCGGGTCGCCGGGGCCGCGCGTCGCTGCTTGGTACCCTACCCGCAACGTGGCGCGCGCACGTAGCCTTCCTTTCCCTGAGGGTGGAACCTCAGACTCACTGGGTACCACCCACCTCTACCCCTGCTCCGCAGCCACAGGTCCCCGCCCGGCCCCGCACCCGCCACAGCTGCGTGCCTCTTACGCGCGGCGGCCGCCCCGGTCACCACCACTCTGCTCCCCGTGTACGCCCGTCGCACAGTGTGGGGGCCCAAGCCGCTAGGTGACGTTCCCGTCCTGGGAGCTTGGAGTTGGCGGGGACGCGGATGGCAAACAGGAGCCGGGGACTCAGAACTGGAGCAGAGACTGGCTCCTGAAAGGGGACACGAAGACGGGGGTTGGGAGATGTTCATGGGAGACAGGAGAGGAAGAGAAAACCTCTCCACAGCCTGCCTTGCCTCTGGAGGCCACACGCCTAACCCACCCCGCCAGTGCACACCAGCGCGTGGCAGCCAACCCCACCCCAACTTTGGTCGCTCCCGCCCCGCAGGGTGCCCGCTGATACCTCTGCAAGTTTCTCTCCTAGAAAGCCCCTCCCAAAATGACTAGGGAGTGGCACTGAGCTCTGATCTGCAGACCCTCCCATCCTTTCCCCGACTTATGTGATCCGGCCCCCAGGCGGTGCTGAGACCCCAGGGCCTGTCCCTCCTTCCCAGGCTGAGTGATCAGGATCCTAGGATTTAGGCCCGCATTTTCTTTTTCTTTTTTCCCAGAAGCCAGTTGCCCTGTGAGAAATCTGACTACCCTGCTGGAGGAGAGGCTGCATAGGAAACCCTGAAAAATGAGAAGTTCTGTAAGGAGAGACCCCATGGGATGGGACATAAAGCACCAGCCACAGGAGGGAAGGAGTCATCTGGACAGACCAGCACAGTCAGGCCTGCAAATGACTCCAGCCCCAGCTGCCATATGATCACAGGCACATGAGAGTGCCAGTGACAGAGCAGGAAAACCACCCATCTGAACCCAGTCAACCCATGGAATTCTGAGAAATAGTAAGAGCTTATTTTTTCAGGGTGGTTGGTTGTGCAGTAGCAGATATGTGAATCAAAACTCTCAAGCAAATCCTTGACCATTCTTTTTTCAAAAATTTTTAAAAATATCTTTATTGTTGAGACCATTACAGATGTCTTCCTTTTAACCCAACTGATCCCCTCCACCCCACATCCATCCCACCCCCAGGCCCTCCCCACACTAATGTCCATATCCATGGGCCATGCCCATAAACATACAAGTTCCCGGATTAATCTCTCCCCACCCACCCCCATACACCCTGCCTTTCCTCTGAGATCCCTCAGTTTGTTCCAAGCTTCTATGTCTCTGGATCTACTTTGTTCATCAGTTTATTTTGTTTATTATATTCCACATATAAGCGAGATCATTTGGTACTTGGCCTTCTTCTACTGGCTCATTTCACTTAGCATAATACTCTCTAGTTCTCTCAATGCTGTGCCAAAGCCCAAAAGGTCCTTCCTCTTCACAGCCGCATAGTACTCCATGGTGTAAATGTGCCACAGCTTTTTTATCCACTCATCTACTGATGAGCACTTGGGCTGTTTCCAAATCTTAGCTATAGTGAATTGCACTTTTATGAACATAGGGGTGCATAAATTCTTTGCAACTGGTGTCTGGGATTCCTTAGGATATATTCCTAGAAGTGGGATCGGCCCGCGGGGGTTCGAGGTTTCTAAAGGAGCCATTGGGACCCAGTCTGTAGCAACCGCTGTCCCCAACCCTAGGAAAGTGCCTCTGGCCGGACAGTTCCCTGACTGCTAGAAAGGACTTACCAGAAACTCCGAGCTACAGCCCCAGCAGGCAGTAGTGGCCCATCACCTGTATCACCTGCCACATCTAGGGTTGCCGGCTCAGACCCAGCCACTGCTACTCTGCCTGGGACTGCGGCTTGTAGGAGTGTCCAGCAGCTCACTAAACACCGCCTGTCCTAAAGCCGGCCTGGCCAATCCCACCTCAGACCTTGGGATTTTGAAGGAGGGAAGGGCAGGGCCAGTGTCAGAGAAGTCCCTAAGCTTCCAGGAAGAAGGCTTGGAAAGCCCCACACACAAGGGCTCTGTTTCCAGCCACTGGGTCTGCCACCAGCTAGGGCAGTAAGTGTCCCCACTCTTTTGAAGCAGGATCTGAAAAAAGCCACACCTGACACTACACATGGGGCTTCTAGTCCTCATGTCAGCAGTGGGGCGTGTGCACACTTCATTGGTAGTGGCCAGTGTGTTAACACATGGGAAGTGCTCTTTAAACTCCCCCCAAGTAAGGCATCATCACTTGCCATTAATTGTGTCTTTCAGTGACTTTGTGACTGTAAGGCTGCACCTCCCAACACCCTCAGAAACATGGATCTCCAGGTTTACTTCATTCAATTCCATTGCCTGTGTTAACTTTGTGCACAACTTTTAATGTGATGGCGTGAAAGCCTGACTTCTGATGTCAGATATGAGTGCTAGTACTGTATTAGCATCTCTGGTCAAGGGGTGATGGTGTTCTGAGAGTTTTCCCACCACCTATAAAAATCATAGGAGGGGAAATTGTTCTGTAAATCACAAGGCATCCTACAACTGTGAGGGCCATTCTGCCTTCATAGTTTTGTCTTCCTCACTCTTTTGCACAAAGTACTAATTGTATAGGCTGAAGCCTGTGTTTACTATAAAACACTGCAAAATGAAGCTATAGTACTTAGGTACTTGGTAGTATCCGAGTGTATATTGTTAGGTGTAGATACAACAGTGATTTTGTAACAGCTCTGGTGCCCTTGCCCTATGTAATTCTGTAGATATTCCACTGTGAGGTCATAGAATTTACTTTGCAAGGTCTCTGTAAGCCAATGGTTCTCGAAGTAAGATTGAGCTGGGACAGCAGCAGCAGCATCACCTAGGAACTTGTTAGAAATGCAAATTATTAGGTTTCACCAGAGATTTACTGAATCAGAAACTCTGGTTTAGGGCCCAGCAATCTGTTTTAACACATTCTCCAGGTGACTTTTTTCACATGGTAAGCTTAAGAATTACTGCTATTTGCAGATACAGTAGTTGCTTTATAAAACTTATTGTATAATACTGTGTTCAGCAGCTCCATTTATGGGGAGTGGGTTCTCTTTACCCCGACAGGGCATACCATACTCATTGATGATACTCATTAATATAAATAATTCCATACAACAAATGACAGCTTGTGTTAGAAACTCTTATCAAAAGAAAGAGATGGCCCTGGCTGGTGTGACTCAGTGGTTGGAGTGTCAGCCCGTGAACTGAAGGATTGAGGGTTCGATTCCTGGTCAAGGACACAGACCTGGGTGTACCTGGTTTGCAGATTCGATCCCCGGGTGCAGGAGGCAACCAATCGATGTCTCTCTCTCACATTGAAGTTTCTCCCCCCATTCACTCTCTCTAGAAAATCAATGGAAAAAATATCCTCCAGTGAGGATTAAAAAAAAATAGATGAACCAATGAACCAAAGTTTATGTTTTGACCCACTCCTCCCCAGGCTTTGCCTACCACCGATAGTCCATTATGAAAACGGTGTTTGTAGGACAGTGCTCAAGAATGAAGCGTTGCCTGGCCAGGAGTGGCTCAGCTGTTGAGCATCGACCTAGGATCCAGAAGATCGTGGTTCGATTCCCAGTCAGGGTACATGCCAGGGTTGCGGCTTGATCCCCAGTCGGGGGCATGCAGGAGGCAGCCAATCAATGACTCTCATCATTGATGTTTCTATCTCTCTCTCTTCCTCTCTCTGAAATCAATGACGATATTAAAAAAAAAAAAAAAAAAAAATGAATGGTTGTGTCCTCACCAAATTCATATGTTGAAATCTAATCCCCAATGTGAGGGTATTTAGAAGTGGGGCCATTTGAAAGTGATTAGTCATGAGAATTCCATCCTTGTGGGCAGAATAGGATTGGTGCTCTTATAAAAAGACCCCAGAGAGCTCCTTTGTCCTTCTGCTATGTGAGAGCTGTCTATGAACCAGGAAGGAGGCCCACACCGGACACCAAATCTGCCAGCATCTTGATGTTGGATTTTCCAACCTCCAGAACAGGGAGGAATAAATTTCTGTGTATAAGTCACCTAGTCTATGGTATTGTTATAGCAGGCCAAATAGTTAAGAGAAA